GAGACAAAGAAACAAGAATCAGCACACTCGGCAAGCAGTATACCACATCCACTCACCTCAAAGCAAGAACATGCACTATCCATCCATGCCGCATCACCAGTCTCCAGTCAGCGATGGCACGAGCGCTTTGCCCATCGGAACCACACCACCATCGACAAGATGAAGACATCTGGTCTTGTCAGAAACCTTGATATAATTAAGGATGACCCACCAATCAAGTCAATCTGTGAGCCGTGTATCCAAGGCAAGATGCACCGTGCCCCACACACGATACTAGCAGAACGAGCAAAGGCACCTCTTGAGCGTATATACAGTGACCTTCATGGACCACTGCCTACCCAAAGTCGGCATGGCTACCGATATTGGGTCTCCTTCATCGACTCCCACTCCCGGATGGCCGGTGTGTATTTCTTGCGTGCAAAGTCTGAAGTCTTCAGCGCATTCAAACTGTACGTCGCATGGGCTGAAAATCAGATGAATAGAAGGATAGCAAAATTTGATGAAGAGGGGATAAGACGTACTGTGAAGGCCTTGCGAGATGACAAGGGTGGTGAGTATATGTCCAATGCACTGCAAGACTTTTGCGCCACCCGTGGAATCAGCCGAGAACACACCATCCGAGACACGCCACAGCAAAATGGAGTCTCTGAACGATTCAACCGCACTATGCAAGAGGCTATCACTTCAATGTTAGCGCACGCCAAAATGCCAGCAAACATGTGGGCCGATGCTGCCGCCTCTTTTGTACACATCCACAATCGCTCCCCATCATCCTCAATCAACTTCCGAACACCATACGAGCTCTGGAATGGGGAGATACCATCAGTAGCCCATCTCCGGGTGTGGGGATGCCTCGCCTATGTGCACCTCCAAAAGGATCAGCACGCACAACTCACACCACGCGTTCAGCAGTGTGTACTTATCGGCTACCCAGACGATTATAAGGGATGGAGATTCTGGGATTTCAATAAACGTTGTGAGATCATATCGGACAGTGCCATCTTCAATGAAGAAAAGTTCCCGGGCACCTTGCGAGGAAGAGTAATTATTGATCCAGAAGAGCTAGCACCACCAGAACCTACCAGACCTTCACAGCCCGATACACCCTTGCAACCTCCGCAACCACCTCCATCCACTTCGCCAACCACACCCGCACACTCCGTACCATTACCACCATCACCCGAGCTAATCACTCCACCACTCTCCGACTCCTCCCGTTCATCATCCCCACAACCGAGCGAACCACTCCCATCCACCTTCCATACTCCTGGCCATACTCCAGTACTCCTTCGCCTCTCCCGTCCACCATCTACCTCCCCTTCAAAACACAAACAGCGCCTCAAACGCGAACTGAAGAACTTGGGTAGCAGCTTCGAAAACTTCCCTCGCAACTTACCATCCAAGCGACGCACTTCAAGTAGGCGCGCGATACCCTTCCCCACCGGCAATGGCAATCTCGAACATATCAATGAGGAAGAAGAAGAAGAGAGAGAAGTAGAGGAAGAACTCACCGAAACTGCAGCAGGTGTGTGGGAACTACCGGAAGATGAATCGAACGGAGATGCCGCACTCATAAGTCTTGACGATGCAGTCGACTATGCGCTCCACTCCTCCAGTGAGATTGAGCCGAATTCTCTTGCCGAAGCTACATCCCGACCCGATGGTGAAAAATATATCGAAGCTGCTATTGAAGAAATTAAAGCTCACCTAGAAAATGGAACGTGGGAGGTCGTACCACTCCCGCCGAACAAGAAACCGATAGGTTGCCGCTGGGTCTTCAAAATCAAAAGAAACCCTGATGGATCAATCGACCGCTACAAAGGCCGTATCGTAGCAAAAGGATATGCCCAACGCTTTGGTGAAGACTACACCGAAACATTTGCACCCACCGCACGCTTTTCTGCTCTCCGCACAGTCATCGCCCTTGCCGCCATCGAAGATATGGAGCTCGAGTCAGTCGACATCTCAACCGCATTCCTCAATGGCGATATTGACGCCGAAGTGTATATGGAGGTCCCAGAAGGAATCGAAGTTGAGGGTGATGGGAAGTCCGAGTGGGTGCTTAAGCTCCTTAAGGCCCTCTATGGTATAAAACAAGGCCCGCGACTATGGTCGCAGAAACTCGCCAAGGAGCTCCAGTCAATGGGCTTCCAACGCCTCGACTGTGACCACTCCGTCTTCATCTACGAGCGGAAAGACATCAAAATCATCATCCCCGTGCACGTTGATGACCTAATAATCGCATCGAAGTCAGCAGAGGTCATTCAAGACTTTAAAGACGAACTTGCCAAACGATTCAAGATCCGTGACCAAGGTCCCGCTCAATCTATTTTAGGCATCAAGATCGAACGTGACCGCCCAAACCGCACCATTACTCTCTCCCAACCGGCATACATACAGGACCTCCTCGACACCTATATCGGCCACGAAGTCTTCAATGCCGTATCCACCCCAATGGCCGATGGAAAGTTGTCAGAAAAGGATTGCCCCACAACAGCCGAGGAGATCCAAAGGATGAAGGCTTACCCCTATCGTCAGGTCGTTGGCAAACTCCTCTATCTAGCGATCGCAACGCGGCCAGATATTGCTTTTGCTGTCGGTGTATTATGTCGGTTCAACGCAAACCCTGGCATGAATCACTGGGGTGCGGTGAGACAAAGAAACAAGAATCAGCACACTCGGCAAGCAGTATACCACATCCACTCACCTCAAAGCAAGAACATGCACT